GTGACGAGTTCCTTTCCCGCTTGCCAAGCGAGTTGCGAGTTAGTTTTCGCCCTTGTTGTTCTGACGCCGAAGTCACTCGAGTTCTCATTACGCTTAATTTCCCGATTCGTTGCTGGAACGGCAAAACTTATCGTCACAGTGAGAATTAAAGGCTATAAGCACGTGGGTGGAAAGCGTGTGTCAGGCTTGTCAACTCCTTATGATATTTCAAAAAGAAAGAGAAAATTTTTGTGTTGTGTTCACCTACTCCGTAACGTGGGCTCGTGAAATTAGAAAGTTTCATGTCGTAGTGGTGCAACGAAATATACAAAATAGCGTGATGCACGTATAAAAGTTGTTGTTTGATAAAATAAAAATATTATTTTTGCCGTTCTCCTTGCCGTCGCCGTCGTCGTTGGTTTTGTTGTCATCCAGAAATAGTGCTACTATAGTAACGTGACGGTCACACTTCTCCTCTCTATAAGAATGCGTGCGATAGCTATATAAGTCTCTCATTCTGTTTCATTGCGGAAAGACTATCAAATATCAACCCCCGCTCAACTTACAAATGTAGCTTCTAGTGTTCTAGTGATCTTTCTGTAGCTGGGCAGTTCTGTAAATTGCAATGCAAGTTCTTTTGGGCTGTCTGCTTATCAAAGAAACTTCCAACTTATATGAGGGAGGACTTAGTTCTTCACAGCCCAAAGTTCTTCAAAGAACTGCAAACCTATCGACCAGCAGCCCAACGAGTTGCAGAATCCAAAACAAACAAATAAAGTTAATGAATTGAAATATATGAAATGAATGATATTTTGAACTGCGCATAAAGGTGATCAGAGGGAACATGATCATCGTGCAGTGGAATGAATAACCTACAATCGGTTGATAAAGAACCTGAAAAAATTCAGGCTTGTCGGTTCTTTTTCAACCGCCTAGGTTGAACATTCTTACTGCGATGATCATGTTCACTTTCATAAATATATAGATTTAGCATGGGCTTTAAAGGGAAGCTCTCGTTAATAGTATACCGGTTTACAGATGGCGACGGCGACGAGAACGGCAAACAACAACAACAATAAACAATGGGTCTAATTAGCAAAAAGATAACTTTCCACGTGTAGCAGACCTTTTTTTGAACAATTCTTTTCTTTCAATTAAAACAATTTTATTAAAAAACTATTAAAATCCTATTTACAATTAATTCGCTTAAAAAAAAGAAAAAACTATTCATTCAAAAACACTATTTACAATTTCTGTCGATTTAAAAAGCACTTAATTTAGCTTAAAAATAAGTTAATTAAAACTAAGAAAAATTTTTTCGAATTAAAAAACATTTCATTTCAATAAAAAAAAAAAAACTGTCAACCTCTAAAATTCAAAAGTTTCTTTCAACTTCTTTGCCGTAATTTTGCACGACTACAACGTGAAACTTCCAAGCTACGCATTTTGTGGAGGAAATGGCGCATGTATTTCTGTTCCCCTTTTTTTTTTCAGTGCCTCTCATTTTCACATTGGTGGCCGCTCATCCTCGGAGACCCAGGGGTAGATAGTGGGGGCAAGGGAAAGTCTAAACGGACGGAACTTTCCCTTGGCCCCTCTATCTGGCCCTGGGTCTCCGAGGATGGTGGCCGCTAGAATTTCTCATTTTCTCACCGCCGCTAACAAAGTTTTTATGTTTTTCGTCTCCTTTGGTTTTTAAATCTCTCGCTCTAGTTCTAGTTAGTCTTTCTGTGTCAGTGTAGACATTGAAATTTAGTCGAAATATAGACTCCGCTTTGTTGCTACTTTTTACTCTCTAAAAGTCCAGGTGGCAATGAGATTTACCGCCAAACACGCGGCGGCTTGAAATGCAAAATTTCACCCCGGCTTACATGACGGGGTAGACGTTAATGATTGTCAGAACCAAAATTTATTGGATGCATATAGATAGCCACATTTTTTTTCTTTTCTTTTTTCTTTTTTCATAACCAACTTTTCTTACCCATGGTGCTTCGCTGCAAGTTAATGTTGAGCACAGAAGAAAACACGCACAACTGAAGACCTTGTTTATCAGTTTTCAGGAACGCACCTCTGAAGCAAGTCTAGTGTTTTGTTGTTGTTGTTGTTTTTTCAGTGTTTTGTTTATTTTGTTTTATTTTTTTTTTTTTTATTTTTTTTGGTGGGGGGGGGGATGGGTTAAGTAAGTCAGTCATTGTCAAGATTCTACATTTCCCTCGCGCGCCCTCAACCTCGTCCCGAGGGTCTTCTCGTTTTCCAAGAAAGAAGAAAAGGGGGAAAGGAGAGGAAATTCCTCAGCTTTAGCCTGCATGACAGGCGCAAAAAAGGGAGGGGGGAGAAAATAGACAAAAGGGAAAAAAGAAGAAGAAGTTCCTTTAGCCTGCATAGTGGAAGGGAGAAAAGAGGCAAAAGGGTTTTCCTATCTTCCCAATCCCCCTCCCTTTTCACTTCCCCTTTTACCCTTTTCGACGCCTGCCACACAGGCTACGGTGTAAGGAGTATGGAACAAAATAGCGTTTGGGGAGGGAAACGTCGTGAAAGCCGGTTGATTGCTCACAGAAAATTATTTTCGGGGAAGAGCGAGATGGGCCGTCAATGAATATTTACGTACATATTTAATTACACAAAGCGATGGCAAATAAATTGACCTCCTTTTTGTGTGTCAGTCACTAGATCGGAGCGCGATGCGGGGAACGTCTGTGGTAGTCTACGTGTAGCCGCACCTTGCCCCCGACAAGGTAAATAGGGTGCGGCTACACGTAGGCTACGTATGTCTCTATAACACTAGTAATATAGCCTTGAACGTGGTATCTTTGACAAAACTTGGTAACCGGCCTTAGACAACCACTTGTGTTTATATTTTTCCTTTCGCAAACAAACCGGGAAGTGTTTAAATTCTAGGAAGGCAGCTTTTTCAGTCCCGGGAAGTGTTTCAAGTTTTCCGGGAAACGATTTTAATTCGAAGAAGTGTTTTGGGATCTGTTTTCAATCCTTTTTGTCCCAGGCACGGAAGGTCGCACGTTGCTCCAATATACGCTCGGAGGAACAACTCTTTACTTTGCCGGTTTTTAATGGATCGTTTATCCAGACGGTCACGATCACGATCACCGTCACCACCACGTTGGAGAATGGATCGTTTATCCAGACGGTCACGATCACGATCACCGTCACCAGTCAGAAGACCGTGTCGGTCACCGTTGTACTAAGGGTCAGCAAGCGGTAGCGGAAGCGATGGAGAAATCAGGGAAATTGGTATGTTTTTATTTGTTTGCTAAGGTAACTGATCGATATAGTTCGCTCATGGGGTCGCTGAAGCCTTTGTCTAAGTCGTTTCTAATAGATTAATTCAGGAGTAACTGCGAATACGAATACGAAAAATAAGTTTTGCCCTTTCCAATGAGGTATAGCTTTATGTGGAACTCTAAATAACAGCAGATATAAGTTTTTAAAGTTACATGGTCAATTTACTTTAAAAAAACCTAAAGAAGACAATGAGTTTTTAATTCATAACGCTCGAGGATAACAACCATCTGAAAAACTACAGCAATAATTTATTACTATTAGTCAACCTTCTCAGAACTCTGAGTATAGTCTGGTGTATTAAAACATCTGTTAAAGAAAACATTCCTTTGGTTTTGTCCTGGATAGCAGAGGGATAAGACGAAGAAAACAGCAAGATTTGGAAGGGAAATGAATCATTTCGGCCCTGGGGCGGATCCAGGATTTGACGAAGGGGGGTTCGGATAAACGCCCGCCGAAGGCGGTAGCCCCTGGGGGGGGTCCGGGGGCATGCTCCCCCGGAAAATTTTTTAATTTTAGGGCCTCTGAAATGCGATTTGCAGCCTTTTTAGGGGCAATTTGAAGTGGCTTAATTGCTCTAAAGTCACCTCCATTTTTGTGCTAACTACAGTAGTTTAAAGGATGGATTTTCTTAACACTGACAATAAGCGAGACGGATAAACATTTTAAATTCATCCAAATGAAAAATTCATGATTCCTCAAAAATGGGATCAACTAGCAACATTCTCCGGGGTTGCTGTTCTGCAAATTTCTGGACAACTGCATCATAATCCACGGGTTTCTTGTGGTGAATATTCATGAGCGCCAAGCCAGACAATCTTTCCGTCGTCATGGTGGTCCGCAGGTAGCCTTCAACCAGCTTTAAGGTACTGTTTGCCCGCGTTTGTTATACGTTTTTACGTTCAGTTTAGGGGGTTCGACCGAACCACCCGAACCACCCCTAGATCCGCCCCAGCGGCCCAGTGAATGATAATTTTTATGAACGCCGGAAAAATCCAAAATTTTGTTGGTGATTCAGTTAACTACTGCCCTTGCTTGACCCCGGAGTAGCAAGGAAAGAATTGGGTTAATTTGTTGTCAATTTTCACCGCCGATTTATCGTTCGAGTACATATAGAAATCAATGCTTGTAAGAAACGCCGTTGAATACCTTCTTTTCTCAGTTTGTCGAATAGTTTCTGTCGGGGTATACGGTCGAAAGCTTTTCTGAAATCAATGAAGCATGAAAAGAGAAGATTTCGTTTTTTCTGCGGCTTAGATTTTACATACTCAATGTCAATAAGCGTTTTTATAATAAAGATGCAGTCAACTGTGCCATTCATTTTTCTGAAGCCGCCTTATTGTTCTGCTTTTAAAATTGCTTTTTCGATCATGTAGGAGTAAAATCTGTTATTAAGGATAGATGTAAAGAGCTTACCTAATCATGCCTTCCTTTGGGGTTAGGGAAGTGGGTACGGGAAAAGAGAGGGAAGAACACTTTCTTTACTGTGTCCCCATTCGCTTCTTTCCTTCCTCCTCCCCCTAGGATGACCGATTAATGGAGAAAGGTTAGGCGGATCACCCCTCTAACCAAGCAAACTGTTTATTTCTCGTATAAATGGTTTGCTAAGTTTTGAGTAGGCGAGTGTCCCTTTTGCCTGAGATACGTTTTCTCCATATAAACGGGGTCTTGCAGAATTTTACAAAGAGGAGGAGGTTAATGTGACTCCCGCAATAGTGTAATACATTTATTTTTTAGGGAAAAAAGGAGGCAGCAAACAACCAGCAAAACAGGTTGAAAAAAATTCGTTTTCTGAGCCTTGGGAGGATAGCGACTTGGTGCTCACGGTGGAGGACGAGCCATTTCATGTCCATCGACAGATCCTGAGCTTACACTCACCGGTGTTTAAAGCGATGCTGAATTCTCAATTTAAAGAAGCCACAGCAACAGAAATCCCATTGCCAGGAAAGAAAGCAAATGAGGTTTTAGATTTCTTGAAGGCGCTTTACCTGAAAGAAACAGCTGAAATAGCTTGTAAGTAAGATATCAGTAAGGCAGCGTTCACACTTGGCGCCCGGGCACGGTGCCCGAGTACGGTAATTGCTGGTCCCCAAAATAAACACGCCCTTTTTTAAGTACCCACACTCCTCGAATCAGTGCACCGTGCCTGTACCGATTTCAAAATGACGTCTGACATGGCAAAAAGGAGTAACTATGTACACAGTTACAGCCTGGTACTCAGGGTGTGAACACAACTTCATTTTGTGCCCTAACCCAGGCAGCAGTGCTCGGGCACCAAGAGTGGACATTACCGTTAGTTGCCTTAAAACAGTCATATCTTTACACAATGGCCACTTTTCGAATCAGGAACCTCCAGCAATAGTCCATTTTCACAATGACGACATTTGATTGCAACAACCAGAATTCATTTCTTTTTTTGTCTTCTTATTTAAATTTGTCAATCCCGTTGAGGATTAAAAGACAGTGGCCCTAATTTGCACAAGAACTCGAAAAAAAACTGAAGCATCATTCTGGTACTTGTCATAAACTCACGTCATCGTACAATTGTCTTTCTGAATAGACAATCAAATAGCATAAAGTCCTTTGTTGTACTAAGAGGCTTTATAAACATTAGCGCCAACCTGATCCGAGTCATATAGAACCTCTACAACAAGGCCACCAATGCAGTCTACCTTAATGGTGAGATAGGAGACTGGTTCAGAACCACAGTCAGAGTCAAACAAGGCTGTCTGCTCCCATCGACTGTTCTCAACATATTTCTGGAGAGAATTATGACTGAGAACAGGAAGATCACAAAGGAACAGTCAGCATTCGAAGCGAAAAGTTCAGCAATTTACGTCTTGCAGATGACATTCTGAGCTTGGCAGGAAAGAGGAGGAGCCTTGCCTCTCCGGAGGATCACCTGGATAAGACCCTTGCAGACTTTGGCATGGAGATTAGCGCAGAGTAGACCAGGCAAACTTATGACCAACAATTCAACATAGATGCATCACCACTGACATCAGGGCAGAAAATTGAGCGAGGTTGAAAGTTTAAAATATCTGGGCGGAGTGGTCACAGATCAAGGTTTCAAGCCTGAAGTACTGTGTAGAATTACACAGACAAGAGCAGCACCAACGAGACTGAAGATTATCTGGAACGACAAGAATATCTCCTTTAGCTCAAAGATCAGACTCATGCTCTCATTGGTTGTCTCGATAGTCTTGTACGCCTGCGAATCCTGGACATTGACAGCGGACATGCATCCAAAATAAATTGCAGCCCACTGAGATAAGATGCTTTTGGACTGCTTGGCATCTCGTACTTCTTCTTTTACGCCAAAGATCTCTCAGGATCCGTAGACGCACTCTGATGCTTAGGTCTCTCTTCTCAGCAAGCCTGATAGTCTACGATGGTGTACTCCGTGTCCATTCACAGATGTCTCTTATCCAACATCTCCGTGGTCAACCCCGCCCTCTGCTTCCAGGAGCTCGTCCATGCATGACTGTGATAGCCAGTCTAAGCTCACTGAGATGTCTCATGACATGGCCGAAGGATTTCATTTTCCGATCTTGCGCAATTTGAATTAGGGGTTTTTGTACTCCGGCTAAGTCCTCCACCTGTTCTTTCCATGACTCGTTTGTGCGTCTGTCCCTCCAAGAGATGCCCAGTAATCTTCTATAACACTTAAATTCAAACGCATTGATCTTCTTTACAATCTCTTAGCCTGCGAAGAAGGCGCCGGTTACTTTTTTTAAAGGCCCTGCAAGGTGATAAAAACAAACCGGCGCCTGATTTCATTGTATGTCCAGGATTCGCATCCGTAAAGTAAAACGAAATCACGATCGATCGTAAGAATCTCAATTTCACTCTAAAGCTAATAGTTTGGCCTTTCCACGATTTGTCCATTTTGGCTAATGACGACATAGCCATTACTGCTCTTATCTTTCCTTTACTCGTCGATCTACCTAAATCAGGCATACTACAAGCCGGGTATACTACAGGCCCAGTACTTGAATTGTTTAACTTGCTCTAACTCTTTCAGAGATAACTTAACAGTTGTTCTTAATGTCTCCGGTGTTTTACCTACGGCAAGGGTCTTACTTTTCTCTCCACTATTCTCCACTCTGAATCTCGTCGACTCTGTGTTCAACCTATTGGTAAGGAGTTTTAGTTCATTGCTCTCATCTGTGATTAATGCAATGTCATCAGCGAATCGAAGGTTATTCACCAGCAATCCTTGAGCACAAACGCCACCTGTCAACTCTTCAACTGTTCTGCTTACAATCTCCTCCAGAAAGACATTGAAAAGACTTGGCGAGAAAACACACCCTTGTCTCACCCCAACACTACATGGGAACTTCTCGCTAAATTTCGCTCCAACCCTCACTTTGCTTGTTCACTTCGCATTAAGTTGCTCAAGTGCTCTCATAATGTTGTCATCTATTCCCTATTAGGGACCTTAAGCATCGACGACGACGAACCGCACCGTGAAAGGACTGGGTCGAGAACGTCGTTCACGGCGGGAAAATTCGAGAGTCCAGCGCTCACTTGCTGTGGACGACGAGTTTCCCATGTAAACAAAGGAAATGCGAATGATCGAAGTGTTCAAAATATCTTTTCACGGTCTGCCCTAAAGGTTCCATAGCGCTTTGCCTGTGTTCCTCTAGAGATGCTCCTTCTTCCCTTTCGTTTTTCTTTACCTCGGAGCTTTTTTCGTCGGCCAACTTCTCCTTTCAATCATTATATCTTTGAGAGCTTTTGGCCTAGTTCGGTCTCTTCGGAGGTGATTCAAGTGGCATTTTCCAGTTGGCGTATTTTCTCTTTATGCTTGGTAATCAGCAAGGTCAGTCTGCTGTCTCTCGTGGCTCTTTTATTGACTTTGAATTTCGAATGATCAAGGCCACTCAGGTTTACAGGTATCTGGTTCCATACATCTCCCCTTTCCTTGCTTCTGGACGGATTCTGGTAGGGTTTCATAACTAACATATCTCGGCATAACTCCAAATCATCTTTGTCTGACCACTCCATCTCCTTTACAAAGAAAAATAGAACCAAAGGTTACTAATGTTTGGAGAAAAATCACTACAGTCCTTAAAGAAAAAAAGGGCGGAACCGGAATATGATTTAGCATCCTTTTGACCTGTAAACCTTTTTGCTTCGCGATAATCTGGAAAACACAAACAAGAAAGAATCAATGGGACTCGCTGGTGCTTGTTTACAAAGGCCTATATCAATCGATTTTTTCTGGTGTTTTTAGTACGAAAATACTAAGCACAAATACGTTGAAAGTCGAATACGCGATTGAGATGAAATTTCTTTCACGAAAGTGGATCTGGGGGGTAAAAATACGAGTAAATTTACTCAGGCACGTTCACTACTGGACGCCAAACCACGGTTTTTCGAGAGCATGTGGATGACGAGCCGAGCATATGCAGTAGCGCTCATTTCGCCTCGGCCACTTCCGGTAGGTCGTCGTCGTTCCATTCGTCGTTAATGCTTAAGGTCCCTATTTCATTAACACTGCCCATATAGCATTATGCCATACTCTATCAAATGCTTTCCTGTGGTCGACGAAATTCAAGAATACTTTTGGGCCGTGTTCGATGTATTTTTCGCACAATACAAGTCTGAGATTGGTCTCTTGCTCCGCTTTCCTTCTTTCTGCTCTAAAACCTGCCTGACAATCATCCCACTCAGACTCCACAGTTGCTGTAATTTGCCTTCGAAGGATCTTTAACATCGCTTTGCTAGCATGACTGATAAGTGCAATTATTCTATGGTCAGCACACTTAAATGAAGCTTTTTTTGGGATTGGAATCAATATTGACGTTGTCTAGTCTTCAGGCCAGATTCCCGTTTTTAGGATCTTGTTGCAAATATCATGTAGTATCTCTATAACTTCCACGCCACCATGCTTCAGTAACTCTCCTTGAATGTTATCCACCCTGGGAGCCTTGTTGTCTTTTAGACTTCTTACAGCTTCGCTTTCTTCGACCTCCGCTTTAGTAATCGGCGGAGCTGTTTTATTTGGTGCAGCAGCACTCCTCAAGGTGTCCAGTATTGTGTCATCCTTATCAATTTTGATAATTGTATAGCTCCTCATAGTATTCTTTCCATCTCCTTAGAACATCTTCAACATCAGTGAATAACCCCCCATCCCTGCCTTCAATGATAGTTGTTGCGTTTCTATTCTTGTCTTCAGTAAACCTGTTAACAGTATCATAGGCTTGCGTTGGGTTTCTATGAAGATTATTGTCAATAATCTCGCATTTCTCGTTGATCCACCTTTCTTTCGCATTTCTTATCTCGTTCTTGACAGCTTTGTTTGCCTCTTTATATCTTTCCATGTCTTCATCACACAGTTTCCTTTTTCCTTTCTATTTCCTTCTGTTGTCGCATTTATCTAACAATTCCGCCGTGATCCATGCCTTCTTTGCAGTGCATTCTTGTTTTTACCAATAACTGTTGCCGCAGCTTGGTTCATGACTTCTTTGAATGGGTCCGTTTGTTCATTCACATCGCTTAAAAGTAATAGTGGTCAAATTTGCCACCTATTTGTGCTTTGAACTGGTCGGCAATGTTGGGGTCTTTCAACTTTTTAACGTCGTACTTGATACACACTACTTTTTCTCTGCATTTTTTTCTGTATTTCAACTTTTATCGCTATCATCACCAAGTGACGGTCACTCCCAACGTCTGCTCTAGGAAAGGTTCTAGTACCCTTCATTTCGTATACAAGATGTTAATTTGTTGCTAACTATTATGAAGTCAATTTGCTAGCTCTGGCCGTTTGGAGCATGCCAAGTTACCAACCTTAATCGTTTGTGTTTAAAAAGTGGGTTGGCAATCACTAACTTGTGCCTTTCTGCAAACTCTAATGCTTTCTGTCCTCTTTCATTGGTTGTTCCTATACTGTAACCGCCTACGACACCTTTCCAATTTGGTATGGTGTCACCGCCGATCTGAGCATTCCAGTCCCCCACCACTATCAGGTAGTCTCTTTTAACTGAGTTTTCAATGGCTTCCTCTAGTTCTTCGTAAAAGGACTCAACTTCTTCTTCTTCTTCTTCTTCTTCTTCTTCTTCTTCTTCTTCTTCTTCTTCTGTGGATGATGATGTTGGCGCATAGATCTGGATAATGTTGAGATTGTGGGGTTGCGCAGCAATTCCAATCTGAATTTTTCTGCTAGATATAGGATTACACACAAGAACCGAACTGGTGGTGTTTTTCTTCACGAGAAATCCCATTCCCCTTTCGTGTCTCTTTGGTTCTCCACTCCACCAAATCTTGCCACCAACTCCGGTCCACCGCATCTCTGCTAATCCGAGGATTTTATAATCATGGTTGCCCATTTTGTTCTGAAGCTGTTCGAGCTTTCCACTCGCGTAAAGAGTTCTAACATTCCACGTACCCACTGTAAAGCACTTCTAAACAAGATTCTGATGTAGACGACAATAAGTAGCTAACTTATCACTGCCGCTCCGATCACCCTTAGCGGCAAGCGCGGCCATTTTTAACCCGGGTTTTGACCGATCCGGTATGAGAATACTCTGTTGATCCAGCATCATTGTGTTTCAAAGGGCAAGAGTCCCCAGTGTCGTCATACAAAGATGACATAACCAACGAGGCAAGCAGGGACAGAATCAGGCAAGCTGTCTGGCCCTATGACGACATCTGAACCACCGTGATGGTAAGGAAGCGTCAGTTAAAGTGGTTTGAATATGTATCCAAATCAGCAGGGTTTGCCAAGACAATTTTACAAGGAAGGGAGAAGAAGGGGAAGATAAAAGAAGAATTTGGAGAATAATATCTCTGATTGGATTGAGTTAAGTTTTGCGACCCCCTAATAAAATGTCAAAACAAAATCTGATGGAGGGAAAGGGTTGCTAGGTCCATGGCGCCCTAAAAGGGTTATCACGGGTGCACCTCTTTGCGCAAGGGTGACCATTTTCAATAAATTTTATTGACAACAATTTCATGGAGACATCATCCGAGGCGACTGAGGAAAATTGACTTTTAAGTGATTCAATGCTGCCCGTATTTTAGATCTCCCTCTACGCGCATCGGTTAGTGATGCTGTGGCGAAACTGCATTGGAAATCCCTATTGCACAGGAGAGCCGAACCCTGCGCCATTTTAACCCTGCGTCAATAACGTTTTTCTGATGCCTCTCAATATAGTCGAAACGCCTTCGGCTCGGCTGATAACACTTAACTTGAACTTGATTATTCCGGTTATCACTAAAACCTCATCCAATAATTGTTTATTATCCATTGCGTATCAGCACTATTCGATGAGTAATCAACTGATTACTAAAATTGATTGAATTTCCCCAGTAATTTCTCGTGTAGTCGAAGGTTCTACCTGGAGCAGCACTTGACTGTCCTGAGTGACTATTACTAACTTCAGGAGATTTAGTTCTCCCGACAAGCGATCAGAATCAAGGTATCATTATATACGGATTACAGGTAGTTTCTACCTGAATAATGTTCTCTTTATTTTTCTGTATATGTTTGGTTTACTTTAATCTGTCTAACATGTCTTTGCTCATCTTTATCCAGTGAACAAAGTGAGACACCTTCTGAAGTTAGCCGACGAGTACCAAACACAAGGTGTGCTTGACCTTTGCGTGAAGTGCCTCAGGGATGTACCAAAATCTGAAGACAATGTGGTTACGATTCTTCTCCTGGCAACGGACACACAGATGGCAAGAGACGACAGCAGGCTTGATGGTGTTCGCAGTGAATGTGAAACCCTTGTTGAAGATATGGAGCTTGCTGATATAACAGGAATGAGCGATTTTAAGAATTTGAACCGAGATAGCATGGAAAGTGTTTTAGTTAGAAGATCTAAGCGTTTAGAAACGTGTCTTAAGAGGGTTTACCCTCAGTTGTTTGGGTTGGTGGAATATTGTTTATTCATGAAATTAGATGGGTATTCTTCAGGCAAAATATCTCGTTGTCTTCAACATTTTCCAAAGAGTGGCCAAAATGCTAACAAAGCAAACAAAGATCTCGTACAGCGAATAATAAATTGCTCGGTTTGTAGAAGAATGATTAAACAGTTGGTTTCTTCATCTGTTAAAGCTGTTAAAAATCCAACTACGCCGTTTGGCTTAGGTTTCAGCTTTTCCATCCCTACTTCAGGCCTTGGTGCTGCCTCGAGAGAAACTGCTCTAAGTGAATACTTCTATGGGGGGAGTTACCACTTTGACGAGGATTTGATCACACTCCTCCAGGATATAGACAATGTTATATCAATCCTGTAACAATGACATTGACGATAATGGTAATCGGCACGCTGTAAAAGACCATGAAAGGATAGCGATAGTTCAAAACAGTCATTCTTAGTATGACCAGAAGCCCATAACCCATATGGAAAATGGCGGCCAGATCGCCAGGAGCCGTGGCGGGAATGAATGAATGAATGAAGCTTTATCTAATCTCGGGGTTGATGAGGTTGGTTAGACCTCTAGCAAAAAAAATGCTAATAAGCCGAGAGAAAAAAAAAGCGAACAAAACAAGACAAATAAATAAAAAATAGAGAAAGAAAAGGAAATCCAAAAACCTATTTACAGTATAAAACCTAAAAATTACGTGACATAGCTATTCACAGTAAAAAGCCCAATTACTTAATAGAACATAGATATTTTATAGAAATTAGCTAAAACCTTAGCTGTCGGACTGCTTTTTTAAAGGCTAATAATGTGCTTAGGGATCTTAAGGTATCACAAATCTTGTTCCAAGTAATAGCCGCCAAGTACTTTGCTGAGTTCTTGCCATAACGAGTCGTATTAGGTTTCGGTACGTGCAGCTTGTTAACCCCTCTCAGGTTTTTGATGTTGTCTCTTAACCTAAATAGGTCTCTCAGATATTCAGGTGGATAATTGTTAATTGTCTTAAATACGATAATTAACAAGTTCTGGATACGTCGATCCACAAGGCTGTTACCAATACGATCACAAAGAGTGCTAGTTTGTGAAGACTCGTCACTGTACAAGTAACGAAGTGCTGGTTCATGCAACCTATCCGGTTTTTTACTATCAGACTTTAAACAGTGATGCCATATGGAGGAACAGTAATGAAAATGAGACATTATGAACGAATTATAAAGGCACAGTTTGGTCCGAAACGATAATATATTCTTGAGTCTACAAAGAACATCTAGTTGCTTTCCAACTTTCTTGCTAATTTTCGTAATGTGTTTTCCAAAATTCAGGGAATTGTCCAATGTTAGCCCAAATAGATCTACTGTATCACGTAGTGGTAATGCAACACCTTCAGCAAATAGTGATAGCTTGACATTGGGTTTTCGCGAGAAAACCAGCGCCTTGCATTTTTCAAGGTTCAAGATCATCCTGTTATTACGAAATTACTCCCACACCACCACAAGTTCCTTATTGACAACATGTTGACAACAGCTGGATCAGTATCAGCAAAATACAGCTGATTATCATCAGCATAGTTTGACAGCTTCGCCTCCTTGATGAAATAAAATAAGTCATTTATGAAGATATTAAACAATAACGCTGTTAACATATGAGATATCACTTGTAACGTTCTCTACTCGAACTCTTTGCCTGCGATTTGTTAAATAGCTCTTCAGTAAGTTTAAACTATGGGTAGAAATACCATAAGCAGAAAGCTTCGCAAGTAATAAGTCGTGTGGTATCAAATCAAAAGCTTTACTTAAGTCCATTATCACAGTCCCAACCACAGAATTCTTGTCAAGAGCGGGAAACCATAGTGTGTGCGTGCGCAATCAGGGTCTCCCCTCCCTCTGCCCCACCCACACCTCCCCCCCCCCCCAGCGACACAACCCCTCCAGTGGATCAACTCACAAGCACCCACGCACCACATCGCACCCCAACAGCACCCTAAGACCGGCAACGAGCCTGCCAACTANTTTCGTCGATGGAGGTCGTAAAGAAACAATTCCCACGCTAAATTTCTCAAAACCTAGCAGTACGACCTGGGTTCAACTTTTGGAAAATTGAAAACATGAAGACCAAATGTTGAAAATTGTTTGTAAATAAGTCCAACAAACAGCTTACCTATTTAGTTCTTAGAAATTCGGCCTTATTGGCTTTTGATTCATCACAAACAATATTACTTCTACCTACCAGAAACTCATAAGGGGTTAAAACGTGTAACTCTCCGGCGTGCTTGCCTTGTCCTATGCTCGTGAATATCCGTTTTCGCAAGTACCATATTTGGAACAAGAAGAAACTATAACTGATCAATCAAACTTCCACTTACTCGACGTTCCCGCGCGCGTTCAAAAAACAGAGAGCTTAAACACAGGTGGACCAAGCGTAATATGAGAGTTTGTATGGGAAATTTAGATAGAATAAAAGAAGTAAAAGCGTTATATGTTTTTACAGTCTCTTTGGTTGAGCTGATGTTTGCTGTGTTTTCTCCTTTTTCTTGTGTGGACTGAGTTAAACCTGGCTCTTCGTTGTGCTTGATGATAGTGCCCAGTAGCGCTGAATTATTTCCCATTAACCAATATCATAGTTTTATTCAGTCCCTAATTAAGGTAGCTACGAAGACTGGCAGAAGACTTTCTTAACAGATTAAGCTTTAATTAAACTCAAACGCCATTCTCCTTAATAGGCTCTGTTCATTTTGTCTTGTTTATGTTTATCAAGGGTGTAGCTACTTGTAAGCATTATGCATCCACAATTGCCTTTGCACCTCCACATTATCTGCTTTCTAGATATCTGTAATGCAGATGGTTTTCAAAATTTTGCTTTGTTTTTGCGATTTTTCCAGATGCGAAAGCCATGACTGTTACCTGCAGAGCATAGTTCTTCGACTCAAGAAGTAATGACTAAACTCGCAATACCCTGATAACAAAAGAAAATTTGTTTAAATCACCCGTGAGGACTGACAATTTGGTAGACGGGGTAGGGTGGATTCGGAAAGCTGTGCGTAGCTCTGAAAAATGTTTAGTTAAACCCGTGTTTATCTCAATCAGTTTAACTGTGATCACTGTGGGTCACCTTCTGAGGCTAGCTGATGAGTACGATTTACAGAATTTGCTTGATCTCTGAGTGAAGTGCCTCACAGATGTGCCAAAGTCTGAGGAGAATGTGGTGAAGATTCTTTCACCTGGAAACGGACACAGTGATAGCAAGTGAGGATTCTAGGCTTGATGTTGTTCGTGATGATTGTGAAATCCTCTTTAAAGACATCGACCAGGCCAACATCACTGCAAAGAGCGCCTTTAAGAAACTGAACCGAGACAGCATGAAAAAGAACTGAACGTTTGGAAACTTTTCTAAGGGAGATTCACCCTCAGTTGGTTGGGTCACTGGAATATTGTTTTATACTTAAAATATGCTTCGTCTTCGACTCTGACTCGTTGCCGTCAACATTTCACCAGCAATAAGAAATACGTCAAGGTCTTCTTCAGCGTATCAAAAGTTGCTCAGTTTGTAGAGGAATATGATTACACAGTTTCCGCATCGGTTACACCTGATAAACCCCTAACTACAGGCGGATCACTAGCGTTTGGCCAAAAACAACCATTCGGAAGTGCATGTAGTATCAGTCAGACAGGAGCTGTTAAAGAGCACTTTTATGAGGGCAATTGCCACTTTGAAGAGAAAACTGATGTCACTCCTTCAAGATATGAATAAGGTAGTCAGCCTTGCTGATTTCTTTTTGGGGCCCTCAACTACTTCTGGTTTTGATTTCTTTTCTCAGGCTTCACAATTACCTCGAAGACTGAAAAAAGAAAGGTAAATCTTAGGGCGAATTACAAGTATATTACATGAAAAAAAAATATTCAGTGGACAATAAGCCTGATTATTATACATTGTACTGATTACAGATCTTTCACATAACTCCAACTAGAGCCACTATAATGCAAAAGTGTACTAAATATGTAAAATACGCGCGGTGTTTTCCCAACCAAATAATTGTTTTCGCTTTGCTGGATTAGGCACCGACTTCGTATACCTCATGTATGTGCAAAATTAAATTGTGTAGGAAATTTTCTAGTTGTTTGCGAATGTGCCAGGTAACAATAAAGAGCAGTTAGTCTGTCTCCATTGATCAGAGTCTGCAAAACGCGAAAGCATGCTCAGAGCACCCCTTCGTAGGCGATCGTTGTCCGTTACTCTGGACAAGGGTAACGCGGCTTCTGGGAACGAAAAAAAGACCAAGCACCAATGGCAATACGGTCTCTTAAATTGGCGTATTCAGTCTCTTTGTACTACGTGGCTCAAGAAATAAAGTTTTTCTGCAGGACAAACGCTTTCAAAAAAGACTATAATTAACGAGCAAAATATGCGTTACTTCTGGGAAACAGTAGCGCGGGTGACAACGCGAGAGTCAGGAGGGCATGTGGACATCTTCGTGCCCCTAGTAGAGACAGGTAATGGGTGTCAAGAGGAGTTTTTTTTACGAAGTAACCAATAGTATTAGTGTCACTCTTCTTGGATGGGAGTTTAAACTATTTATCGCAGGTTGACCCTTAAGCAGTTTCCGTACCCGTCAGCATTACCCATTCATTCGTCTCGTAGAAAAGAAGCTCTGCCCAAAGAAAGAAGCGATGGCCTAGTTTAGGGGTTCAACACTGGAAACTTTATCGGGGGCCGCGCAACTTGCTCATGTAACGATTCTTTGTCTTACAGAGGATGTGTGATGAATATCTGGTAAGTATATCGCCTGTTGTAATTAATATTGAAATTTGAAATATAGCGCTAGTTGAAATTTGTAATCGAAAAAAATTGCCGCAATGTTTTTGATATGTTAAGTCTTGAAAGCACAATCAGGCAATACTCCTTTTTCCGATATCGTTTTAAACTCCCCTAAGCCTATGTTTATCCCTGATTGAATCTGTGGAAACGACCTGTGCAATATTTATTTCTCTTCGACTGTCCATCAGAGATGCAGGCCCTGTTAGTTATTTTGGGCGTGATAGGAGCTGTTGCCTTAGCTCTCTTGCTAGTTTGGAGAGTTTTAGCAACGATACAGGTGAGATTATCGTCAGTTGGGCTCTCGTTAAAAGTTTAACCGGTAGCAATCGGCGTGAAACGACTGTCTTCTGTCAACAGCTGATCTCCTATGATTATTTTTCACAAGTTTGGTAATCACTTCGGTCCTTTTCAGAAAAAATTGTTACCGCTCGTCAACTAATCATTCAGATCAAAATTAATCGATATTCGTCGGACTGAATACATCATTAGCAATTACTCCGCTGATTACTCAATAAATTTCCAATCCACAAGTCTTAAATTATCCCTGAGACTACAGCATTTCTCCTAAGCACAGAATAAAGAGAAGAAGAACTGTCTTCCTTCAGATATCTAGCTCAGCAATGTTTAACGAGTTAAGTATTCTTATTCCATCCGCTCGGATATTGACAAGGCCGTCAACTCTCGTTCAAACAAGGTCTTACCGGAGGATCCAGAGATCGACCCAGAAAAAGCACTGCTTGCTTTCCATCCTCTCAGTGAGGACGAAGTCCTGAAGCTTGTTCGACAATCTGCAAAAAAATCTTGTCCACTTGATCGAGCTCCAACGTCGCTTGTGGTTTCCTGTCTCGATGTTCTACTTCCGGTCATTACGCGCATAATTAACTGTTCCCTTACATCTGGGGAATTTCCTGATTGCTGGAAGGAGGCGTTAGTTTCCCCTTTGCTCAAAAAGTCTGGCGTGCTCTCAGAGTTTGCAAACTTAAGACCTGTGTCTAATTTATTTGCAGTACGTTTCAAAATTAAAGGAACGTGCCTTCTTCGATCAAACGCATCCGCATTTGACATCACATGGCTTATACCCTCCATTCCAGTCAGCGTACCGTAAGTGTCATAGCGCTGAGACTGCACTTTTAAAAGTGCAAAATGACATCCTAATGAACTTGGATTCTCAACGTGTTACCCTTCTTGTGTTACTGGATTTGAGTGCTGCGTTTGGCACAGTTGACCATGGATGATGCCATGCAAACCCTTGTTCACTCCATTGTTATAGGCTGCTTAGATTAGTATGTGTAATCAAATGGTGACGAGTGAAATTAGAGAATAATTTCACGCGCGTTTTGTCCAAATCCTTATAATTTCCCGAGCCTAAAGGCTCGGGAAATTATTAGGATTTGGACAAAACGCAAGTGAAATTATTCCGTAATTTCACGACTATACCATTTGATTACCTATTAATATCATGGGTAACGAATTACGTTAGCAATCGAGGATTTTTGACTTATTAATCGGATCGTATCGATCGATCGTGAACTCCACTCTCTCAAACGTTTAGAGCTGAAATTTGGCTTAAGTTTTCAGAATTTTTCGACAACATACCTCTAAGAATCCTTCTTGATGTGCTCTTTCGTGTGCTCAGGTTTTCTAAAGTGTCTTTTTATGCCATGACATCTTCAATCACGACATTTTAAAACTTCGTCGCCATCTTGACACTGAGACGTACGGCAGGTTGCCATGGCAATTTAGTAATTTCACATGTGAAATTACAAATTAACGCTGAAATTTCGCACCAAAATTAAGGAGTAATTCGTCACCTATGATATTACTGCAATAGTCTTCTTTATAAAGTTCCCGCGGTACACATGAGTAAGTTACAACGCATTCAAAATAGTGCTGCCCGGCTCGTATGCTCAACTCCGAGGTTTAATCATATTACACCCGTCTTATTTTCTTTTCATTGGCTACCCGTTGCCTAGTATCGAGTTTAAAATCTTAGTTTTAACGTTTAAAGCAATATATCAACTTGCGCCGTCCTATATCTGCAATCTAGTTCGATTAAAGGAGAAATATAAATACCAGCTTCGATTTTCTGAAGAGCTACTATTGCAGTTGCTCATGGGAAAAACAAAGAAAACTCTGGGTGACAGATCATTCCAAATAGCTGCCCCTGCAGTATAGAACAGTCTGCCTGCAAGTGTCAGAGACATCGATAACTTTTTGGTTTTTTAAACGAACAATAAAGACTTACTTATTTAGGAAGGCTTTTGTCTGTTATAGTTAGATTGATAAATTTTAGATTTTAAATTTTAGATATTCTTAACTATACTTTATTGTAATTATTACAGAGAGTTATAGTTGTAAGGCGCATTTGATCATATTCAGATGTTAATTTGCGCCTAACTAGAAATAAATTATTATTATTATTATTATTAGTATATTTGCTTAGGATAAACCGTGCTCCTAAATGAGTTGGTTAAATGAATTGGTGACCGTAAAAGAGAATATAAAGATGGAATTTATAGCGTTAGCCCTTGGTCAAAGTAAATCCGTCAGCTTTAGAATCTCCTTACAGAGGCCAATTCACGCTATCAACTCGGATAATAAAAACAAACTATCCCACCACTTTGCGGATAAAGTGGTTTGCAATGTTCAAGACGGAAAACTTCAAAGTGATGAACCCTTCGATTAAGCTCATAAATTCTTCAGTAGTGGTTAATTGTTACAATAACCTCACTTTCTCTCTTCATGGTTTAAATTTGCAAGTTACATTCCTATCTTCAGGCCCGGCGAGCATTTGCCAAATTAGAAAAGGAACAACAGAATGCAAAATGTGTTGTGGTATGTCTTCATAACACATTGTGAACTTTCTCATAACATTTGTTGCTTTTTTTAAAAAAGAGATCATCTTATTTTCGTGATGACGTCGATGACGTGTTCGTTTTGGTTTGCCGTTAATTTATTGAATAATCTTCAGGCTATAGTCAGTAAGTCACTCAGTGATTCCATGATCAGTGAGTGAATGAGTGAGTCAGTCAGTGAGTCAGTCAGTCAGTCAGTCCGTAGTCAATCAGTCGATTAGTCGATCCGCCAGCCAGTCAGTCACTCCACAGTCAGTCAGTCGTTGAGTCAGTCACTCACTAAGTCAGTCAGTCAGTTAGCCAGTCAATCAGTCAGTCAGTCAGTTATTTAAGCAGACATAAGACGATCAGGCGGTCAATCTAGCAGTTAGTCAATCAGACAATTAGTGAGTCAGTCAACCATTAAAGCAATTAGTCCTTTAGTCAGTCATATTAGTACTGTAGCCATATCCAACGACCTTTATGAATCCTATGTACGGAGTGAAAACATGAAGTGACGAATGGCAGAACAAAGTCTTCAATGAGAGCTTCTTGGGGAGGCACTTCTCACAAAACCCCAGTGTAGCTTGCGGACAGGTTGGACACAGGATTGGTCTGAACGGTTATGACGAAAAATTCTAAAGATTTGAAGACGCCATTTATTTACTCTTCAAGTCGAAATTTTCAAACTCAGTTCCAGTCAACTCAGTAACTAAGTCATGCAACTCTCTCTCTCTCTCTCTCTACCATCCCAGCTCTATCGAAAAAAAACCCCTCTCTTTTACAACCACTTGTAAATAGCCGTCTGGTATCTGAATTAAATCCTTTTTTAAAAACGTGTCATCGAGGACGAGTGCTCGAGCTCCTTCAATCAGTTTTCGCTCTTTGTAAAGATTTTCTCAAGTCAAGTGACCACCTCTCTCAAAGAAACACTTTTTTCTGCTCCAACGATGATATCTTAAAAAAGAGTTGACTGCAATTCGACACCTAACTTGCATATAGTAACATTTGGTTATCTCAAGAACGGAGTTCAGATGATAGATAATTTAGGGAGCTGTTTTGGGACTTAAACCTTGAACGAACTACACGACTGCTGGTATACCGGTTTGCAACCAACTACCCCCGCCTCATATTCAACTGTTAACGAAGCTGAAACACATTCTCAAGAAATTCAATAAAAGGAAAGAAACAAACGCTTCAAACAATCCAGTTACAACTGAGCACAACAGCATATAGGTGACGCGTACTCAGTCGACCTCATCGCCTGAAGAAGACTGGCAGTATGCAGTTAAAACGTTGCGATCCACATTCCAAGTGACCACATTATAAGACAAGTGATTACATTTCTCTTTTAAACAAACGCATAAAGCCATGATGATCATCCCATCCTACGTTTGCATGATAAAGACTAGGTGATTTTCTGATTTAAACTCGAACAAAACTTCCATGCTACTAAAAAATAACCGTCACCTTGGCGATTCAGTTCATACAAATACGGTAAAATCTTGAAGGAGAAGCCTTTTTTTTGTGATACTCATCCTGGTATGTCTTTTTTGTGTGTGAGAGTAAATGGAGAAACCAAATATATACGTCGAAATCCTTCCCCCCGTCTACTAAAACTGTTTGGTCTTTCTTGTTAATGCTTTGTTTAAAAATTGTTTAAGCTTGATCTCTTACGGTCAGCGAAGCTTAACTTTCTCCATAGAAGGGGTCCGAAAAAACGCAACGAGTGTTCACCGTAGTGTACTGTCCTCATTCATCGAATCATTTCAAGTCTTAATGACCTCAAAAAAGCAAAAATCAGGGAGCCGTTTGCCTCTTTCGTTAGAAACAATTCATTCCGTAGCAAAGAGTTAGACGTCTGGTAGTTGGGACTTCTGACGTTTATGATAAAACTAGGAAAGACGATGAAACTCTACTTTGCTCCACAGTGAGCAAATATTACACATATAATAATACGCAAATTCTATTTATTCTTACAGTGATCAATGAATTTACCAATCAAGAAACCCGAACAATTCAATGATTTGTCTCGTCTCCAGTACATGTTACTCATAAGACTTCTGATTTCTATTGGTTCCAGAACACTGCGCGATCAATCAGTAATCGGTTTTCTTCTCCTTTACCATTTGTTTCAAGGCTTCATAGCCCACTCTCTTGTACCCATCGTCACCCGTAACCACGGTCAACGGGTACAGTTCCTCCACTTCCTGAGCGATAACTCCATGCCCTGTTCCACTCATACCAAGGTCTGCGGCATCTTTGGACCATACCCAGTTGTAGCTACGAACACCAATCTGCTCGAAATCTGAATGCGGCACGACTGTGATGTTTTCTTTCAGTCGAGAGTCGCTCAAAATTCCCAACAAGAGCGCACCCCCAAAAATAGCTTTTGCAATGTCGCTTTCCTCTTCCTCATCAGCTTCTTCCAATCTTCTTCTCTCTTCTTCAGCCCTACGCAATTTTTCTTCTTGGATTCTTCGTTCTTCCTCTGCTTTCGCTCTTGCCCTTCTCTCTTCCTCTAATCTCTTTTCTTTCTCACGAGCTTCTCTGCGGCGCTGTTCCTCCCTTTCCCTTTCCATTTTCTCCTCTTCTTCTTTTCTCCTCCGTTCCTCATCAAGGCGTCTCTCTCTTTCTGCCATTTCTTCTTTTTGGGCTATAACTTCATCTAGTTTATCTGTGATTTTCGCTCTTTCCGTTCCCAGAGCACATTTCTCGGCGAACTCATCGATAATTTGCTGTCCCCTATTCTTCATGTGATTCAAATTATTTCTCAGAAAAGGTTCAATTATGTTTTGGTAAGAACGGTCGCACAATTCCGTTTCGAGGGCGGTATATGCATTTGAAAATCCACTCCATGAATTTTGATTGAGAGCAATCTCAAGCCTTTTAGCGAAAGAAGCGATCATTGCTCCGTCCATGTTTGCTCCATGAATTATCTTTTTTAAAGGAAAGCTTCTTAAATCAGAGGCTAGAGAGGATGCGACATTTGCGTAATCATCACTCGGAAATTTTTCTAAGTTACGCAGTCGTTTCGAGTCCACGAAGGGAATGTCTCGAACCTTAATGTTAATTCGAGGAAAGTGCTTTGCAATTGTTTCTCCGTAATTTCCATCAAGTATAGAATCTTGAGCTTGACTCTGCAAAGTTTCACCTTGGGATGGTGCAAGTGCATTTCTTATGATCACCAGTAGTTGTGGAAACGCCTTGATGCTCTCTGCATCATCTTTCCAAATCTGTTCGCTCAAGCGTGAAACACGGTACAAAAACTGCACATTATGATTTTGTACTCCTTCCCTGGCAAAGAGAGCCAAACCGGAAGACATCATCATGGTGAAGATGCTGAGCAAATCTGTGTTTTCGTTGTCGCCTAAGTTAGTTCCTTCCGTGTCGAGCAAAATCGTGCTTCCTTCGCCATTTGAATCACGCGACACAGACATCCACACTCCCGTCGTACATGGTCTCATGCCATCGCTCGTGTTAAAAACTTTCTCAACTCTTTGATTTCGCTGTCCTTCAAGGAAATACCTGATAAAGTTCAAATTCGTGGACTTACCAACGCGTGCGTCGCCAATGGCTCCGACAATTCTCACGGGCCCTTTCAATGTTTGTATCTCGCGCAGAGCATCCTCGCTGACGGTGAACTTGCCATTTTCCTCGTCGAACCTCAATAGTGGTTTTGCTGGTGAACTGCAACAGGTTTTGCTCAAAAGAGAGACAAATATTAAAAGAACCAGTAACTTCAAGATCATTTCGACGGAAACAACGTCTAATTTCGAAGTCGACGTGACAGTTTCAATGGGTCGAGCGACCAATGACTCGCACCAAGTTACAGGCACGACGAGTCTGATATTTTGCAATTATCATGAGGGAATTTATATGCGCTTCTGCAATAGTGTACTTTGCCCCAGTGTTTCTGTTTCTCTTCTAATTTTACTTAGTGATGAGTCAATTATCTGGGAAAAACCCCCCAACGTTTTCCTTTATTTCGCCGCATCATGGTGCACCAAGGCACAAAACATACACCGAAGGTGACTGATTTGAAAGGAAAACTTCGGTAACAGAACTCTTGGAGACTCAAATCACTGCGAGATCCCCTGATTTTGCGTGTAAGAGTATGGAAAGCTTTCCATTTTCGTAAAGATATTTCATTTAACTTTAGAGCTAAATTCTACTCCATACGGAATAAGAATAATACATTAATTTTAAATTTATCACAGGTTTTTAACCCTACGGCTACCTTATGGTCTCTGGCGTGAAAGGGGGTTCCGCTAACGATTCTGTTTCATTCTTTGCTAAGAGCTTTTTGTTTTGTAGAAATCTGTTTCGACTCAAGGCAAATTTTTATTTTCTCTATTGCTAAAAGTGATCGAAAATATGAAAAAATGAGCTACAGTATATCGTGAAGTTATTAGAAATAACAGATCTTTACAAACTTCGACATGACAGAAAAAGATGTAATAGTCTAATTAACATAACATTCCTTTATTTGAAAATGTCTGTCTATTTTTACATTTACATCCGGGAAAATAAAGCGAAGTCAAGACAACCCATTAGAATATATGTGCCAGCTTGACTAGGTTCATAGAGAGGGAAAAATCCCACAGTCATCGTCACGTCGAAAAAAGCCCTATGCTCTCATGCGCGTTGAATATATTTAGAGAAGTTTCCGTTCAGTCCATTTCGCTTCGGTAGTGAGATGGACTTAGGTAAATGTTGCGCTGTCGTAGCATTTCTTGCCGCGCTTTATTTCCCTTCAATTACTCAACAAAAACCGGCTCGAATCCTCATCAAACACAACAAAACAGAAGATATCTTCGAGTTGAACAAAGCTGTTCTGGAGGAACTGTGGCAGTTGCAACGACCGATTCGCGTCATAGCTGTTGTGGGAGATGCTAGAATTGGAAAATCTACCACTCTCAACGTAATAAGTCACATATGGTCCGAAGTCAATCACAGCCATGTCGCAGAAATCTTCAAAACAGGCGATACACTGAAAGCTGTCACGCGTGACGTGTGGTGCAACATCATACATCCACAAGACAAGGAAGGAGGAAGCGTTGTGCTACTTGACGTTGAAGGCACAAATTTGGGCGATGACGCCGTTACAACTCATTTGAGCATGTTTACAGCCTTGGTTTCCTCTGGCCTGAACGTTTTTGTCCGCGAGGTGTTTCAAAACAACAATCTACACTTTTTGTTCCACATGTCACGCTTGAGTGACGAGATTTCCCCTAACATTACTATCGAAAACTTTCCCAAACTTCAGGTGGTTATTAGAGGTGCACTGGGTGATCCTGACGGGGGCAAAACGATCGAAGATTACACAAAGGATTGCATCGTGGAACCTTCCTTCCAGGAGAGCATGAAAGAAGAGAGAAAAGCCATCGCAAAGCACTTCCCGAGGAACCAAATTACAGTAAGTCAGATTCCGCAAGTGGAACGTGATCTTTTCAAAGATTTCAATAAATTACGGAAGAGTGACTACTGGCAAGAAATGAAGCGACTGGTTGAAAAACTCAAAACGTTTCCCATCAAAAAGACCTTAGGAGGAAATCTTATGGACGGACAAGGATTAGTAGAATTGGCCATTCATCTTAATGATACGATGAATGCGGACTCGTGGCTGGACTTTGCGAATGATTATGTTGCGTTGGAGAAACAGGAGAAAAATATCTGTAAGAGAAGCCGCGTGAAAATAAGGGAGCCACTTTTTGCATTGCCAACAGCAGACGAAATCAGTAGAAGCAAGAATAGAAGACGCTTTAAGGAACTTTTCAATGGATTGTGAGTTGCAAACCGAAATTTCCGCTGTGCAGAAAGATCTACAGCACTTTGCTGGTGAGAAGAGGAAAGCTGAGGAACTGGAATTGAAAGCGAAAGAAGCGGTGGAAAAGAGGATAGCTGTTGAAAAGAAAAGCGAAGGGCAAAAACGGAAGTTTGAACGTGTTATGGCAGAGAAGAATATTGAAATTGAGAGGGTAAAAAGAGAAAAGGAAGAAGCTGAGCTCATGGAAAATAACTGAAAACAACTTTACCTGGAACAAATGAAGACCATCGCTTTACTCAAGAAAAAACTAAGCAAAAAAAGTAGTGGTGTTTTTTATTTCATTGCATCCGTGGGACTTGGGGTTGTTATCGGCGGCGCTTTAAGCGACCATGAAGTGAAGGAAAACGTTTCAACTTTGCCACACTCGCCATACAGGGCAATTGGACTTAGGGGAGTTTGCTGGGAATGGAATGAAGTTGCCAAACAAAAGTTTGGACTGAGCGGTAGGGACTGCGGAATGATCGCACAGGCAGCACAGCAATCAAGGGGTACTTCGCGGTGCGCTATGACATGCTAAATAAGATGATTTACAACTATCCTGATAAGAACCATCACCTTGATTACAACATAAACTGGACTAAATGAAAGAATAGAAGAAAAGAATATCGTTGTCAGCTGCTTGTTTAATTATCAATTAATGAATGAGAACTGAGCAGGATATGAAGAATTAAGCAGATCGAGGAGGGTGTTATTCACCGAGGCCAAAGGCCGAGGTGGATAACACCCTCCGAGATCTGCTTAATTCTTCACATCCTACGAAAGCCGAATTCATTAATTGCTTTATTATTCATTCAAAATAATTCCTGCTTTAAAAACATAGCTAAAACATGCTTACCTGCATCGATGTTAAGTTTATTTTCGATAGTGTACGTTTAGATTTGTCCAGGTCCGTAAATATTCTCCAAACAGCAGATTTCGCCCTCCGAGTTGTCTTTTTGCTGTTTTTGCTATGTTTTTAGCCATTATATCGCCTAGTTCCAGCTGTAGTTCTTACTCTTGAAACGAGTGAAGTGTCCGCCATTTCAGTTTTCACAACGACAACAACTCAACCTCGTCGCCAGGTCTTCTCGGTTAACGGTGCATTAACCTTTGGATTTTTGACGTCATTTCCTCGTAAAACACAAAATTCTTCCAAATATTTTGAATGAATAATAAGAAGTGTTAATGTTTGTTTTGGTTTCTTCTTAAAAGAAGTGTTAAGTTTTTAAGAAGTATTTCAAAAGTTTGCTGTCATCGATCTCGTGTTTCAACTAGTAGTCACCAAATGAACGAGCTATTCTAAACGAACTTTGATTGAAGGTTTGAGTGTCTTAGAAACTGGTTTTTATTTCTTAACTTCGTAATCAGTGTAATTTTTGATCGAGGGTCGAGGATGATCCGGGTATTGCACTGGTTTGCTTCATTAACTAAAACCAATGACATCTTCCCGCGCTTTAACCGTTTAAGAGTCGCATCTAATTTCTCCAAAAACAGCATTACGCCTAAATTAAAAATTAAGGTCGTGAGATTAACACTATTCAGACTGGGCTTTTTTGGTCAATCTGTGACTGGGGGGGGCTCCTCGGACCCCCCCCCCCTCTGTATCTCTGGAACCAATAATGCAAGGGTCATGAAATTTACACACAATGATCATCTCCGTACAAGGAAGCCCCACACCCAGTTTTGACTTGCCACGCCCAATGATGACGTCACAGTGACGTCATATTGCCATTTTTCAATGTTTCTTATTATTTTTCCACTTAGATACGTAAAATATCAATAATATTGGTAAAGTCATCTCTTTGTTATCCTTTCTTATGAACTAGTAACAAGGAAACACTTGTACAGCGAGAAAAAGCAATAGGAAGCAATAAAATTTAAAATTTGAAATGGTTGTCCGCCATCTTGGATCCGCCAT